TATAATCTCACCACTATAAAAAGTTAAAAAATTGAAATGTCATTTCCTCTCTCACTATTATTTCTAAAATAACCTCTAATATACCATTTCTCCACCGACTATTATTCCTAAAAATTTGAATGTTAATTCCTCAACAATGAAGACTCCTCCGATGATAATCTGCCAGTAAGTGAATGATCCTCCAAATACTTTGTTGATGTGTGATTATGCACTATAATAACTATCATTGATATCCAATCATCATCAGTTGCTAGCTTCTTACCTTTTATTGGAAAGAGCATCTACACTTTTTCTTTCTATCCTCATCCTTTATGGCTTTTTTTGCTAATTCAGCATACATGTTTTAAACGTCTTCTTATATTTAAAAAAAATATATAATTACATTGAGATGCAAAACTACATAATTGAATGACGTATAAATTATCAAGTACATATTCAAAGCACAGGGAACAAGTATACAATGATTGTTCATCCAAGTATCTAACAAGTTTCTTACAAAATAGAATTTATCTATTTTTTGTCTAATGGAGAGTCGCAACCTAGGCGGGCTTGGCCAGCACCTAGACAAGTTTATGCGCCCTTTCTTACTTCGTAAACTCCTAGAGATTAATCGTGACAGTGGTTAGCTGCCTAGTGCCTAGCGGAGCTTAAACTACACTAGGCGGTTACTGGGCTAAGTTAGGCTGGGACTTTGAGAGAACACTTTCTATAACTAACAGAGTAGTTCAAACTTCAAAGGTACATAATTTCCACACAATTCACAAATGCAATCAAATTCATACCTGAGACACCAGAGACAACCTCGGTGGCATTAATATTCTGAAACCGAATGCCGGCTTCATGGGCAATGGCATGAGCCAACGTCGTCTTCCCGCACCCTGGCGGACCCGACAGCAGAATCCCCTAAACAGGCTTGCCTCCGAACCACCGATGCAGTTTCCTATGTTGCAGCATCCTTATTCAAAAAAAAAATTGTGTTGATAATGTATCAACGTTATGCCAGTAGTCTATTAATACTGTGTTGACAATGTGTTAATATTGATTTGATAATATGTTAATCCCATAAATATTTTCGTTGTAGATGATTAACAGAGATTGCATTTTTTTTTTTTTAATGCGAAAAGAAAGTAACCAGAGAATTCATGCTAATCCAGCTCGAGAGGCTATCGGGAGCTGAAGCATATGTTAAATTAGGGTGAGGTTTACTATTCTAGTCTACAGGATAAATGAAATCTTGAATATCGACTGTCGTGTGAGTCTAGACTAATGTGTAATTGAGACTATAAGTAATTCATTACTCGTTAAGATAACATGATTCAAGCTTGTTTATGTATACGTGCTTGTTATAAGTAGATGTAGATGTGAAAGTGCCCAAGGAGCCGCCCTTAAATACATTATTAGAGGCCTTGGCGATAAAGGGACCAGCTGATGGTTTCGTCACAACAAACAATTGTGAAAGAACCAGTGAGCCCAATTTTCCTAGATTTTATTACAAGTGTACCCTTTCTAATCAGCGATGTCGTTTGTGGAAGGGTTGCATATATGCAGTGCTTTCTTGCCGCCCCTCTCTGTGCGTGCTCTTACCATGAGCGATGGCGCGCCTAAAGCACAAAAGGGCCCCGCCGCCTGCAGCAGCCGACAAGTCGGAAAATTGGCGTCGTTTAAACATGGAGAGGTCGGCTTACTTCTCCAGGAGGGAGGCGGCGAACTGTGAATTTGAATACGTACACGTGAGTTCATCGGCAGCTGGTGATGCGGAGAAGTATCTCATGCGTCGCCAAGAAGCTCTGCAGTCCGCTCTGGCTGGCCTTTTGGTGAAGAAATAAGTGAAGAAAGTTGAAGACTTGATAACTCATCATGAAATTCCTGGTGTGTGATTTTACAGTGTTATTAGTTTCATCTTGTTGTTCCAGCTCTTCAGTTTTATACTAATAGCGTGAAAGTTGTGGAAACAAAGTACTTTGCTTTGCAATTTTCAGTTCATAACATCCAAGGGAAATTTAAACTGTTAGGATGTGGATCGGTATTGCCCTTTTGGACACTAATTTCTGGTTGCAGATGGTTCAATACCTCGTTATATTCGAGTAAATACTCTGAAAATAGATGTTGTCACCGCCTTACTTGAATTAGAGAAGCAATTTAAGGTATTTTCTCGGGCTTTATCATTAAAGTTTTTGTTAGAATTATGTTCAAATTCGTGTAGTGTGTCACACGTTAGAAATTGAGAATTTTAACGAAAAACTCATGATACTGTTTACTTTAACGAAAAACCATATTTTTATACTAAAAGTCAATCCTGGTACTATTCACTTTACCTTTATTTTATTCTTATCGATAAAACTCAAAGTTTTCAAGTTCTTTTCATTAATTTTTCTTTAGAAATTTGGAGGTAATGTTGCGGTGGAGTGGGTGAAACATCAGACTAGGCTATCTCTACCGAAGTAAACATGTGGAACCGCAACTAGGATGTTTCCTGTCAGTTGTTGGTAACCTAATAACAAGTGATTGCGTTGTAGAGACCAAAATTCAAACATTGAATTGTATGTTTTGTGATGTGTCCGCCTTCTGTAGTTCCTTCATCTTGTTACTAAGACGCATTTTTTTTTTTTTACTTTTGGATTTCTTCAATAGGTTCAAAAGGATGACTTGGTACCTGATTTGTTGATTCTTCCGCCGGGTAGTGATCTTCGTGATCATCCTCTAATAATGGATGGAAGTATTTTTATGCAAGTAAGAATTATCATGATATTTGCTGTTAGTACTTTCCTTGTAAAATTTCAACTCATGATATTTGCTATTAGTACTTTCCTTGTAAAATTTCAACCAACCTTGATGTGGCCTTATGACAACGATGGCTTTGTGATGTAGAAAAATTGTCTAAACCGTGAAGGATCCATTTATCTTTCATCCGTTAGTAATTTTGCACTTCGGTTGCTGTTATTATTCTGCATAATATATTGAAGTTTCGATTTTGAGATTGTACAACAGTTTACGCCACATTTAAAATCTGATTTCCTTTGAAGGTTCTTGATGCGAGCTTGGCTCCTGGAAACAAAACTGTACACCCTGCAGCTCTAATGAGAGGAAAAAGGGAAATGTCATAACATGTGAGCTGAATGAAGAAAGGGTCCGACGTTCAAAAGAGACGATCGGACTTTCTGGTACTTCTAGTATCCTTCTTCCTTAGTCTTTTTGTTTACTTTCTGTTTATTCTCTTTTTCCTTGTTGAAAATAGTGGAACTACCGCAATCTAACGAGGAATGCCAGTCTCTGATCATATCTTTGCTCTCGTAACATATTGATAAGCCATTTGACTTCACCTGGACTTAGATATTAAGGTTGTGCATGGAGTTTTCTTAGACTTAAACCCTGAAGATCCTCACTATTCCAAGGTTAGACGACTTGACTTCCGGACCGTTGTTACCTTTCTCCTCTTGGTTGCAGACTTGCGTTTTACAATGCTTCAAATATGTTCCTTTCATGCTTACAACAAAAATCTGTTGTGTTTGACTCATATACTTATGAGTTGGCAACAATTTTGATAGTGTAACTTTCTGAATGCTACAAGGAAATGGCAGCAGCCATTTGTGACTTTGTGTTTGGCTTTCGGTTTTGGCATGGAAATCTTGTTTCAAGAGAAGACATGGTGACTGCCACAAGCAAAGTTGGAAGTAAGCAAGTCTTGACTTTGTACTTGCATGCAATTGTGCATGCTTTATTTTCTATGCATTAAATGGAAAATGGAGAAAAAGTTGTACTCTATAGGCTAGGCATAGAAAAGGGTGTTGAATATGCCATGTGAACTTCAGATTTTCTTGGTCTTGGTTGTTGGCATAATTGTTGGTGCATGACTATAAGTGAAGGAAATAGTTATGCATTGTGTGAGCATCCGGCGGAGAACACAAAGGAGAGAAAATAGAGAGTGAGAGTGAGAAGCTCTTGGAGTAGAGTGAGAGTGAGGCTCTTGGGAAAATTCTGTGAGTATACAAGGGATTGGGGTTTGGGTTATGTCGATTTAACTCAAGTGTATCTTGTACTAGTTATTCTCATAGTGCATAGCAATATCTCTCTGGGGACGTACGCAGGATTTTGCCAAACCTCGTAATTCTCTCGGTGTCTTTATTTCTTGTAATTTAAATTGTTCAACTGTGGATTTGTATTTTGGTGAGGTTGTAACCTGAATCTCGTTTCTGCACTGACGAACGGGCCAAAGCATAACAAAATCAACGTTGCAGGTCCGTGCCATTCTTTTAGAGCATTCCTGCTCTGGATCTGGGACTGCTTCTGCAAGATTAGATCATTTGCTCCCATCTTCTGCTCCAGCTACCTTTTGGATAGCTTTTTGTAATTGCTGATAATGCAAGGAAGTTTATTTAGAACGCTACTTGTATTGGGGTGATGAGCGCATATTTTATCATTTATTGTACTCCGAAAACTACAATTTCTTAGATGCAATTTTGGATTTAAATGAAAGAAATGACATGTTTTGGTGTTTTTAAGGTTAGATTAATGATATGGAAAATTATGCTATTTTTCTGTGATTTTCATGTTAGTCTGGTGGTGTCTAATCATGTCTGCTAAAACGGTGTTTAGATGACTATTTGTATTTTCCATTTGTTAGTCTACTTTGACATATCCCAGTTAGGTCCCGCGTAGACTCATTTCCTATTATTCAATTTTTAAGAAGGTTCCTTATTGCACACTAAAAGGATGACCATCACGTGACCGCTTCAACAAAACAAATGCCCTTATCCTCATATTTGCACCGACAGAAGAAATGGTTGTTTTTCTCTCCCAATTTCCAGGAGCAAGCCGGCGCACTGCAGCTTATCAAAATTGACGAGGGATGAAAATCCATATCTCTATTCCACTCCAGTTTGTTGGTTTGCGGTGAATCTAGCAGGGTAGAAAAGGACAATATGGAGGCCTTGCTGCAGCAAGTAGACCAACTTGAGTGTGATTTAGGCGTTCTATTCTTTCAAGCTTTGATCAAGGTTTCTAAACTCACGAAGTGTCTGGCGAATGGGCCAAATCACAGAGAGACTACTTCTCTCGGTGTCTTTATTTCTTGTAATTTAAACTGTTCAACTGTGGATTTGTATTTTGGTGAGGTTGTAACCTGAATCTCGTTTCCGCACTGACGGGTGAGGTTGTAACCTGAATCTCGTTTCCGCACTGACGAACGGGCCAAGGCACAACAAAATCAACGTTGCAGGTCCGTGTCATTCTTTTAGAGCATTCCTGCTTTGGATCTGGGACTGCTTCTGCAAGATTAGATCATTTGCTCCCATATTCTGCTCCAGGTACCTTTTGGGTAGCTTCTTGTAATTGCTGATAATGCAAGGAACATTGAAGTCTTTTGTTTGTGCAGAATTGCAGATTTGATTGGAAATCTTTGTTTTGTTGAAATACGGTGCCAATTTTGCCAGCACGGAGAGACTTAACAAGCTCGCCGCCAAAATCGTAGCCAGAACTTGATCCATTCTATCCAGTAGTTGCTCAGTTACAGATATCTATTGCTTGCTTCGTTCAGCTTGGCTAATAATCTGATTTGTTTCAATGATATAAATTGATGCGTACCGCTTTTGCCAGTTCCAGAAGTGGAGAGTTTTGTTCACGGCACATGCTCTGTCAACCAAGTTGAAAACGAAGATGTCATTAAATCTGTGCTACCACTTGCTGCATCCAATGGTTTCCAACTAGAAACTCCGTTCCCGAAATGGCACCGCCGTGGTCTCCCCAATGTCGAGGGCGGTAGGTGGCATCCTCAAATCTTAACAAATGGTATCCCAATCACTACTGTTTTCTTCCCTTGCAACCGAAGGGAGCACTGCTGTGTTTTCTTCCCTTGCAACCGAAAGGAGGACAAAGAAGGCTTCTTCATTGCTCTTGTTTTCTAGGTGGCGACCAATCAGAGGTGCCTAACGGAACCGGCATAGGCGCAGTACCTCCTCTCATTCTGTTTAAAATGCTAGACACACGGAACATCGCGTAATTCCAAACACACTTATATTACAAACTCTGTTTGATTACGTTCATAAAATGCTCAGTTATTTGAGTTATTTGTTACGTTGTTTGGCATTTTCAAGCCAATTTTATGAAAACTCCAACAAAAATGAAAAGTAAAAAATTGAAATAGGAAGTAACACATATTATGCTTCATTGATCTGAAAAACCAACAAGCTTATAATACCACAACACAAACATAACAAACACATCCAGAAAACACCAACCAAGCCCCAAAATCTACACACAAACCCTTATGTTATTAACCCCTGCACGATAATTCTCAGAACCCAAATCACAGAAAGAGCACTCGAAGGTTTCAACCAATCTTGACCTCGATTGTCTTCGGCTTCTTCGGCTCCGGCGGCGGCAGCTTCTGCACCGTGACAGTCAAAACCCCATCCTGGCAAACAGCAGAAATCGCATCCACGTTCGCATTCTCCGGCAACACAAACTTCCTCATGAACTTGCCGACCCTCCGCTCCATCCTCACGTACTTAGCCCCTTCCTTGTCCTCCTCCCGCTTCCTCTCGCCGCTGATCAGAAGCACATTGCCGTCCTCCACCTGGACCTTGATGTCCCCGGACTTCAGTCCCGGCATGTCCACCACGAACACGTAGGAGTTCGGGTACTCCTTGACATCTGCCGGCGTGGAGGCCATGGCCTTGGCGTCGCGGACGTAGGTCCGGGTGGGGACGTTGAAGGACTTCTCGGCGTCGTCAGCGGCGTCCATGATGTGCTGAAGTGTGGAGAAGAGTGGGGCATCCAAACCCTGGATTCTGATATCCATTCTTCCCTTCTTGGTGGGTGGAGTTTTCGCTTTTCAGTTTCGATTTGAAGGCTTTTGTAAATTTTCGAGTGGGAATCTGGTCGCTGTTACGGAGGGGAGTGGTGGTTATGGGTATTTATACGAGGAGGAGTTGAGGGAGGACGTGGGTTAGCGGGGAGGGAAAAGGAATGTTCTGGAGAAACGTGGAAGGAAGAGAGGAGGTTCCAGTAGGTTCCCTTTCTTCTCTGAGCGTCTAGAACATTCTGGAAGCGTTTACTAGGGGCAGGGCCTCTTCAGCCATTTATGAGATATTTTGTTGAGAAAGAGCTAAAAAGCTAAAATAGATAACAGTACTAAATTAAAAGATAATTCAAAAGAAAATTGTTATTAACATTTCAAAATTTTCATTTTACACTTCAAACTTTCTATATTATAAAAGAAAAATACACTTATGAGAAGTGTAGAATGAGATTTTGAAATGCCAATAACATTTACCTCCCAAAAAAGCAAAAGAGAAAAATGTGAAGAAGATAATTGTGCACCTAATTTTGTTAGGTGAAGAAACAAACGGAAATTAATTCGATAAATCGACAACTAGAGGTATTCTTCCTTTTTGGTTCAATAATTTATGTTACTTTTCAAATTCAAATTACATAGACAATGAGTTAAATGACGAGTTTGGTAAACATTCCACATATAATATAACAATAATCAATCTAATAGGATGAACACTCTATAAATAACATAACAATGGTCAATCTAATGGTATTCTTGGTGACAAATTAAGAATATATTAAATATGAGCCAGCAAAAAATAAGTAAGTTTCTAGTAGCACCATTCTTTAAATTATTATAATAATTTCGAATCTTCTCTCTTTTAAATAATAATAATGTTAAAAAAAAAAAATAAACTCTAAAATAAGGTTATCGATTGGCACACAAATAAGTTATTAAAAAGGCTGGTTTTATATCCAAATTGGAAGATTACAATATACTTCATCTACATATATATACCGCCACTGCTACTCAGTCGTAGTATCCTCACGTACACTGATCATGCACTGCACTCAGAGCAAGCCGACCTCTGCCTGCTTGTCAAGCCCTTCAACTTTGCCCTTCATACCCACCGGCACCACGTTCCCCACCGCCCTGTCCACCTTGCCTGCCAGGTTCCCCACTTTGCCCACCGCCTTGCCAACCACGTTCCTCTTAGCCACCTTCTTCCCACCCTTGATCACCTTTGCCTTCCTGGCCACCGCCTTCCTTACCACGTTCCTCTTGGCCACCTTCTTCGGATTATTTCAAAGATATAAATTGATGCATACCGCTTTTGCCAGTTCCGGAAGTGGAGAGAGCTGTTTACAGCACATGCTCTGTCAACCAGTGACGGATCCAGGAAATAATATTAGGGGAGGTTAGTAAGGGCTGGTTTGGTATTGTTATGCTTTGAAAAAAAAACTACTTCTACTGTGCTATGAAAATAAGCAGCTGTGAAATAAAGCAGCAGAATGTTTGGTAAACTTTTTTGTAAAGTGCTCTTGAAAAAAAAAAAAAACAGTATTATAGTGTTTGATAAACTTTTATGTAAAACAAATGTGAAAAAAATTGATTTTTCAAAGCTGGGTTTTGCAGCTTTGTATTTTTGGCTTTTTTTTCACTCAAAACTGTGAAAAAATAGCTGAAGCTGAATGTTTACCAAATATAAAAAAGCTTGTTAACCATTTTTTTCAGAATCACCTCAGTACCAAACTAGGACTAAGAATAGCGTGCAGCAACGCACAAATTTTTTTTACCAAAAATAGCTACATATCATCATTTCATCTAATCTTGGTAGGTCTGAAGTCATTTGAAAAAGTATACTGCATACCTGTTAATACCTCATTTGCGAGGGTAACTAACATGTTCCAAGACTGCTCCCATATGAATGCTTAAAAAAAAACACTTATCTTGAACATACTAACAATGTTTGATATTATTGCATCTTATTAATATGTTTGTCCAAGAATGATGATGTTTTGTTATTCATTGAGATCACCATTTCATTCATTTTTCTTTCAGACATTTTATCAAACAGTTGAAGGTCATGCATGAAGCCCAACTTGCACACGGGCACACTGAAGTTCAAAGGATCAGCACTTAAGACACGTTCACCGAAATTTGAGGGGTCAGCTGACCCCCTGCCCCTCAATGCATCCGCCACTGCTGTCAACCAAGTCGGAAACGAAGATGTCATTAAATCTATGCCACCACTTGCTGCATCCAATGGTTTCCAACTAGAAACTCCCTTCCCGGAATGGCACCGCCGTGGTGTCCCCGGTGTCGAGGGCGGTAAGTGGCATCCTTAAATCTTGACAAAATGTGACAAAAATGTTGAGATATTGGTATCTCAACATTGCTCTGTTTTCTAGATCCGGCGACCAATCAGAGGCGCCTAACGGAATCGGCATAGACTCAAACAGAACCTTGAAGAGGCTGAGAAATTATGCAGTACCTCACTCTGTTTGATTACGTTCGTAAAATGCTCAGTTATTTGAGCTATTTGTTACGCTGATTCGCGTTTTTGAAGCCGATTTTAAGAAAACATCAACAAAAATGGAAAGTAAAAACAGAGATTGAAATAGGAAGTAACACATAATATGCTTCATTGATCTGAAAAACCAACAAGCTTACAGTACCACAACACAAACATAACAAATCCAGAAAACACCAACGAAGCCCCAAAATCTACACACAAACCCTTACGTTATTAATCCCTGCACGATAATTCACTGAAACAACACTCGAAAGTTTCAACCAATCTTGACCTGGATTGTCTTCGGCTTCTTCGGCTCCGGCGGCGGCAGCTTCTGCACTGTGACAGTCAAAACCCCATCCTGGCAAACAGCAGAAATCGCATCCACGTTTGCGTTCTCCGGCAACACAAACTTCCTCATGAACTTGCCGACCCTCCGCTCCATCATCACGTACTTAGCCCCTTCCTTCTCCTCCTCCCGCTTCCTCTCGCCGCTGATCAGAAGCACATTATCGTCCTCCACCTGGACCTTGATGTCCCCGGACTTCAGTCCCGGCATGTCCACCACGAACACGTAGGAGTTCGGGTACTCCTTGACGTCTGCCGGCGTGGAGGCCATGGCCTTGGCGTCGCGGACGTACGTCCGGGTGGGGGCGTTAAAGGACCTCTCGGCGTCGTCGGCGGCGTCCATGATGTGCTGAAGTGTGGAGAAGAGCTGGGCTTCCAAACCGGGGTTTCTGATGTCCATTCTTCGCTTCTTGGTGGGTGGAATTTTCGCTTTTCGGTTTCGATTTGAAGGCTCTTGTGGATTTTCGAGTCGGAATCTGGTAGCTATGGAGGGGAGTGGTGGTTATGGGTATTTATAGGAGGAGGAGTTGAGGGAGGACGTGGGTTAGCGGGAGGGACAAAGGAATGTTCTGGAGAAATGTGGAAGGAAGGGAGGAGGTTCCAGTAGGTTCCATCAATTTCTTCGGTAAGCGTCTGGAACATTATGGAAGCGTTTACTAGAGGCGGCCTCTTTAGCCATTTACGAGATATTTTGTTGAGATAGAGCCAAAAAGCTAAAATAGATAATAAGACTAAATTAAAAGATAATTCCAAAAAAAAAAAATTAGTGAAATATATGAAGACGATAAAAAATAAAAAGAATTTTAACGAAAAATTTCTAGTACTATTTATTTTAACGAAAAATCATATTTTTACACTAAAAAATCAATCATGATACTATTTACTTTACTTTTTATTTTGTCATTATCATTAAAACTCAAAGTTTTCAAACACTTTTTATTAATTTTTCTAAAAACAAACGAAAATTATACTCGACACCCAGAGGTATTTTTCCTTCTTCTGGGTCAATAGGTTATGGTATTTCAAATGATCACTCTATGGGTGAACGCTTCATAAACAATGTCAAATAGTCATTCTAATGGTAGTCTCTGTGACAAATCATCGAAAATATACTAAAACCGAACCTAATCATCGAAAATATAATAAAAACGAGCCAACAAAAGACAAGTAAACTCTAAAATGTAGGTGGTCCGGTATTATAGTATTCAATTTGAAAACACCTTTAAATAATCGTAATAATTTCGAACCTATACCTCCTTTTAAAAATACTTAAAAAAAAAAAAGTAAACTCTAAAATAGGTTCTCCATTAACAAGATATATTGTTCTCCATTAACAAGATATATTTTTTTTAAATAATATTATTTACGTTAAAAGAAAATTGTGTGTTACCTTCATAGTGAGCTATAGTTCAAATTTGTTTTAATAAAAATCAAAACCTAAGACTTCTTGTTACAAGTGAAGATGACCTAACGGAACCCGCATAGGCTCAAACAGAACCCCGAAGAGGCTGAGAAATTAAGCAGTAGCTCATCTCAGTCTGTTTAAAATGCTGACACACGGAACAACGTATATGGCGTAATTCCAAACACACTCATATTACTAACTCTGTTTGATTATCGTAAAATGCTCGGTTATTTGAGTTATTTGTTCCGTTGATACACGTTTTTGAAGCCGATTTAAAGAAAACGTCAACAAAAAATGGAAAGTTAAAAACAGAGATTGAAATAGGAAGTAACACATAATATGCTTCATTGATCTGAAAAACCAACAAGCTTATAATACCACAACACAAACATAACAAACACATCCAGAAAACACCAACCAAACCCTAAAATCCACACACAAACCCTTATGTTATAATCCCTGCACGATTATTCTCAGAACCCAAATCACAGAAACAGCACTCAAAAGTTTCAACCAATCTTGACCTCGATTGTCTTTGGCTTCTTCGGCTCCGGCGGCGGCAGCTTCTGCACCGTGACAGTCAAAACCCCATCCTGGCAAACAGCAGAAATCGCATCCACGTTCGCATTCTCCGGCAACACAAACTTCCTCATGAACTTGCCCACCCTCCGCTCCATCCTCACGTACTTAGCCCCTTCCTTCTCCTCCTCCCGCTTCCTCTCGCCGCTGATCAGAAGCACATTGTCGTCCTCCACCTGGACCTTGATGTCCCCGGACTTCAGTCCCGGCATGTCCACCACGAACACGTACGAGGTCGGGTACTCCTTGACGTCTGCCGGCGTGGAGGCCATGGCCTTGGCGTCGCGGACGTAGGTCCGGGTGGGGGCGTTGAAGGCCTTCTCGGAGTCGTCGGCCGCGTCCATGATGTGCTGAAGCGTGGACAAGAGCGGGGCTTCCAAACCGGGGATTCTAATGTCCATTCTTCGCTTCTTGGTGGGTAGAATTTTCGCTCTTTGGTTTCGATTTGAAGGCTTTTGTGAATTTTCGAGTGGAAATCTGGTCACTGTTACGGAGGATGGTGGTGGTTCTGCGTATTTATAGGACGAGTTGATGACGTGGGTTAGCAGGAAGGGAATAAGGAAGGTTCCGGAGACACGTGGAGGGAAGGGAGGTGGTTCCAGCACGTTCCATTTTGTTCTTCGGTGAGCGTCTAGAACATTTTGGAAGGTTTTACCAGAGGCGGGGCCGCTTTAATTATTTACCAAATTTTTTGTTGGGTAAGACGGGGACGGAAAAGTTCAAATAAAAAACAGTACTAAATTAAATGATATGAGCAGATAAAAATAAGTGATTTTAATATCCTAATAAATAAGATGTTAAAGTTTAACTATGCGTATCAGTTGAAAACCCCCGTCCATTGATTGTTGTAATGGTTTTGAACCATTTCAATTGGAAACCCCACCCTTTAATTGTTATATTAGTTTCAAATATGTCTCATCCCTTGATAATAATAAATTTAAAATGAAAAAAATTAAACTCTAAATTGGCACACAAAAAACAAGTTATTGAGGAGACTAGTTCAATATTGCAATGTCGCATAATGGTTCTTTGCATATCCAAAAAGGAAGAGTACAATATATTAACCTTAATATATCAAAGACAACACCAACCTTCCTTTCCTTCTTATTCTTTTTTTTCTATTTTTTATGAAAGACCAAATTAAAAGAAAAACATAACCAAAGCATACGAAATTACAGCAGACAAGAAAACCAAATAGCACGACGCTTATATGCTGTATGCACATATATACCGCCACCGCTATTCAATAGTAGCCTCACGTAAACTGATCATGCACTGCCATTAGAGCAAGCGGACCTCTGCTTACTTCTCACGCCCTTCAACTTGCCCTTCATACCCACCGGCACCACGCTTCCCACCGCTCTGCCCACCTTGCCTGCCATGTTCCCCACCTTGCTCACCGCCTTGCCTACCACGTTCTTCTTGGCCACCTTCTTCCCAACCTTGACCAACTTTGCCTCCCTGGCCACCGCCTTGGCCACCTTGCCCACGGCCTTGCCTACCACGTTCCTCTTGGCCACCTTCTTCCCAACCTTGGCCACCGCTCTGCTTGCCACGTTCCTCTTCTCCACCTTCTTCCCAGCCTTGACCACCTTTGCCTCCCTGGCCGCCACCTTGGTTGCTGCTTATCTGGATCTGAATGGTCTTGGGCTTCTTCTGCTTTGGCGGCGGCTTCTTCGCAACTGTCACGGTCAGCACCCCATCCTGACACTCGGCCGAAATCCTCTCAATATCGGCGTTGTCCGGCAGCACAAACTTCTTGAGATACTTCCCGAGCCTCCTCTCCATTCTCAAGTACTTGATCCCCTGATCCCTCTCCTTCTCTCTCTTCCTCTCCCCGCTCACCACCAACACGTTGTCCTCCTCAATCTTCACATTAATCATATCCGGCCTCAGCCCTGGAACATCCACCACGAAAACGTAGGCATCTTTAGTCTCCTTCACATCTGCGGGTGTGGCGGCCATGGCCTTCGCCTCGCGGACGTACCGGCGAGAGGGCGCCTGGTAGCTTTGTTGGTTCTGCTCGTCGGAGATGTCGAGCAGGTCGTGTAGGGTCTCCAGCAGGTTGGGGTCGAAACCCAAGTTCCGCAAGCTCATAACCTCCATACTAATGACAACGTAAACGACGCGAGACGACAGTCTGTAAATAAATTTGGTGAGCCTTCTGTTAGGGTTTTGGAGAGGTTATATAGAGTTAGGGAAATGTGAAGCGGTGGTGTTTGTGATTACATCGGTAGGTTTTGTCTTGATGCCCCTGCTACGTGGGGTTGAGATGGAGGTTTGGGTAGTCTACGTGGCATGCCTACAAATTACAAACGCATGGGGAGAAGATGTGGCAAGCCTACTCCGCTCACGTGGAAATCTATTTTTCTTCATGGAAATCCAAAGTTGAGAGATATATCTGAGTTCCAAAGCTATATAGTTTCAGCTGCTGGCATGTTCTGCGTCATGGAATGTTCTTACCAGTTACCACACGACCCTCAATAAAAAAATTTAAACGTGTGCAGCTCAAAATTTTTTACCTTTTTCATTACGAAAATTAGTCGAGCACTTTACTTGTTAACGAAAAAAATTCTGTCACAGTTTTTTTTAATTGAGGAATTCTAGCAAAGCTTTGGAAATTTGGCCACGCTTATCTCATATGTTCCATAAATTAAAGAAGTGGTCGTTATTTCCAAAAGAACAATGAGCATAATTAAGGATGCTATCTAATTATTTAAAGCTCATTTAAAAATACTTTTAAAATAATAGAACTCTTATAATGTTATATAAATTTCATGATTTTCTCATATTTTATGAGGAATGAATTCCTGTTTTCTCGTTCTTTAATATAAGAATAAAGTAGTATTATTTTCTTTCTTGTCACCCAGCGCCAAGTGCAAGTAATGTTCAGTCAATAACTGATGTCTTTCTGTTAAATGTGCACAAATGTAAATGTACAGTCAGGCCCCGTCCAGCGAGTTTAGGGGCCATGGGCGAGCTTTTGAAGTGAAGCTTTAAAGTTCTTTAGCTCTCGATTTTTTATACATAAATATGTATTTTTTTTTTAAATAAAAAATAAAAACTCACTAAATACATAAAAAAATTATATTTCTACATTAAATATAATTAAAAATTAATATAAAAATAAATAAATATACAAACATCACTTAAATATTATACGTCTCACATTGTTAGATGCAAATGTACTAAATATTTGCAGTCAAGAGTCAATAATTGAAAGTGAAGAACAATAAAACTTAATTGATGAGTATAATAAATTCAACGCTAAATTATTTCTCTTGTATTTTTTTCCAACATCAACATCACACTAACGAATCGAATATTAAAATAACCCAATTGTTGATAAACAAACTATAAATTTAAAATTTTTATTACCTTAAAGTACAATCTTCAAGATCATGTGATAGTTGATTTAAACATTCGATAGAAATAAAGTGTGTATGAAATTAAAAACAAAAAAGATTGCAAAGAGACTTAAGTTTTATAATGTTTTATAATTTTATATGCATTTGAAAGATGGATTAGGAGTAATTTGAAAAGAAAAAAAAAATTAGTGACTAAAAAAGTAGCTTCATATTTCGAACTCAACACCTCAAAAAAATAAAAAAATAAAAAAACATTTTCATGGATCAATAAATAAATTATGATATTTCTTACTTTTTCTTTATTTATATGTTATTACATACATGATACAAAAAAATTTTAAGGACCCTTTAAATTATGATATTTCTTACTTTTTCTTTATTTATATGTTACTACATGATACAAAAAAAAATTTGGGGGACCTTTGATCTGGGAGTTGGCGCTTACATGGATTATCTGAAACTTTTTCTTTATTTATATGTTACTACATGATACAAAAAAAATTTTGGGGGACCTTTGATCTGGGAGTTGGCGCTTACATGGATTACCTTCAGAGCCGACCCTGAATACAATACTATTCTTAATATCTAATTGTACCATCTCTTTATTGAAAATGAAAGCCACATGATGCATTGGAAGACCCTATCTTAGATAGTACGTACAACTAGATGGCAAGTGTGAGTAGTAATGTTTAATCCAATCCTCGTCTGATGTTTGGTCCAAACTACCCAAGATATCAACTTCCCAAGCCCCAACTGAACGATCAAATTTCATCTAGTTTGCAAATCCCGCATGAAACAAAATCCGGCTAACTGATTCAAGTTGATGTTCTATAGTGCTTAATATGGTTGTGTTATTTGGGTCTTCTCTGGCGATGCCAATATATGTATATGTTCGAAAGGGAAGATATCTATATATATAAACATGCGATCAGGATCACAGCCAAGCTTCCTTCCCTTCTCTTCTTATTTTTGTGAAAACACAAAAGACAAGAACATAAAAGTTAGACACGACCAAAGCGTACGAAATTACAGACACAGAACGCCAAGGAGAATGATGCACGCATGGATGCACCTTTATTTACTCATACATACATATACGAACGATCTCCACTAGTGAGTAGCGACCTCACATAAACTGATCATGGGACGACGCGACGCGCTGCCCCGGCATTCCCTTGATCTCCTTGCCCACCTTGGCCTCCACCTTGGCGGCCGGCTTGCCATTCTTGACCACCACCTTGGCGTCCGCCTTGTGATTCTTGACCACCACCTTGCCCCCCACCTTGTTCGCTGCCTTGCCCACCATATTTCCCTTGGGCACCACCTTGCCATCCTTGACCACCGCCTTCGACATCTACGCCTCCTTGGCGGCCGCCTTGACCGCTGCTTATTTGGACTTGAATAGCCTTGGGTTTCTTAGGCTCTGGCGGCGGCCTCTTCGCCACAGCGATAGTCAGCACCCCGTCCTGACACTCGGCCGAAATTTTCTCAATATCTGCATTGTCCGGCAGCACAAACTTCTTCAAATACTTCCCGAGCCTCCTCTCCATCCTCAAATACTTGACCCCCTGATCCTTTTCCTTCTCTCTCCTCCTCTCCCCACCCACCACCAGCATGTTGTCGTCTTCAATCTTCACATCAATCATATCCGGCCTCAGCCCAGGCACGTCCACCACGAATACGTAGGCATTTTGAGTCTCCTTCACGTCCGCGGGAGTGGCAGCCATGGCCTTGGCCTCGCGGAGGTACTGCCGCGAAGGGGCGTGGTGGCTCTGCTGATTCTGCTCGTCGGAGGTGTCAAGCAAGTCGTGCAGGGTCTCCAGAAGGTTGTTGGGGTCGAACCCAATATTCTTCAGGCTCATCACCTCCATACTCGTGACAATGATGATAGGATCTCAAACTCTTGAAAAATGATGAACAAACTTAAGTGGAAACTATGAGATGGGATTTTAGTTTGGTTGGTTTGTCTAGGGTTTTGGAGAGCTTTATATAGTATGAGAGAAATAATGAAGCGGTGATATTTCTGAAGAAAATTTGGTGTACGTTTGACAAGTGTGTGTGTGTTTTGTACTTGTTTCGCGAAGGAGGATCGGTTGTTTTTGTCTTTATGGCTGCTACGTGGGAATTCATAGGGTTTTTGGGATCCGCGTGGCAGTTCAGAGGGAGTTGGGAATCCACGTGGCAGTTCTGTCGGAGCTGACTCAAATGCATGACCAGAAGATGTGGCAATTGGCAAGCATACTCCCCTCACGTGAATGCTACTTTTTTTTGCATGTAGCATATTTTTTTTATTTATTAAAAGATATCATCTATACTAAAGAAGATGAGGTGAGTTTAGCTTTATAATAAGTCAATAATAATATAATTCAAATTCAATTTTAGTGAGAATCGAACTGAAGATTTTCTATTTACAAACGAAAAAAATATACCAAGAGCAGATACGCATATTTGAGTTCCAAGGAAATGCAACTTTTTTCTATCCATGTAGGCTTTAAAATCATAAACCTGACACCAAATATCATTTTATGCAGTAGAATTTCGACAAATCTTGAGCTAAAAAAAATATTATTTGACGAGATTATTACTTCGAATTGTCGATAAATGAATAAATTATTAATTATATTAATTAAATAATTAAAAATAATTGTTTGTTCTTTCGTTTATTACAATTAATATTCCTTTGAAGCGTTCCGAAACCACCCGAGTCCTTGTATGGATCCGCCCTATTCTTATTTCAAGGATTTGTCCCATCTTATGATACACAAGGAAGGGTGGGCTACGAGAGTGAAAACGAAATGATGACGTGGATTGAAGCCATTAGTTCAGTGTCAAAGCAATCCAATCTCACATTGTGTAATTAAACTCAAGGATTAGCTTGCTTGTATTTGCTATCACAGGATATGGCCCAAATGGTCCATCCAAGTCCAAGACGTATCACAATTAATGAGATGAATTGTCTTCTTTTTCAAAAGAAAATCCTCCTCATGACCAAAAGCAAATACCAATTTACATTTTAGCTGATGAGTGGGTTGTTTTGCATTCAAATATGAATTTTCGTTATCGAATTTAAATAAATACAAGTAAAATATAACATAACTTGTATGTTAAAATTTGAATTAAAAACGGATTATAACGTCATATCTATCCTTTTTAACTCTTTGCATAGACTCGAACGTGATGCTCATCATTAGAGGGAGACATGAGAATGCTCTCGAGAGCATTGCTTGATGAAATTCAATATTAAATTATTCGATCGTGAATGACGTGCGCAATCTAGAGAGATGGCCATATCTCTTTGATCCCCTTCTTACTAAGGAACATCACAATTGTTAAAATCAACAACAATCATTTCAATTGTTACAATCAGCGCTCGTCCTACTTTGATTCAAAAGAAAGGCGACGGGTTTCGCGACGACATTTAATTTCGTCCAAGTTTCGTGCATGTATTTCATTTGATGCACTTAAATTTTCAACATCAACTATTAAAGCTAAAGCAAACTTCAATTTTATTCAAACTTCATACGTACACATATAACACCTCATACGTGGACATGATACATGCCTCATGTTGTAAAAGAACAAACACCAAATTCAGAGTACAATAACCTCATATCTTCAACCTCAAGCAACACTGACCTGAATGGTCTTGGCCCTCTTGGGCTCCGGCGGAGGCAACTTCTCCACCCTCACCGTCAGCACGCCATCTTGAGACACCGCCGTGATCGCCTCCAAGTTCGCATTCTCCGGCAGCACAAACTTCCTCATAAACTTCCCAACCCTCCTTTCCATCTTCAAATACTTCACCGCATCCTTGCTCTCCTTCTCTTTCTCCCGCCTCCGCTCCCCGCTCACCACCAAGACGTTGTCGTTCTCCACATGCACTTTAATTTCATTGGCTTTGATTCCAGGCATGTCAACCACGAACGCGTACGCGTTCGGGTACTCCACCACGTCCGCTGGGGTGGCCGCCATCGCCTTCGCGTCTCGGACGTACGCCCGAGAGGGGTTGTTGGCGTTTCGGGACTTTTCGGGCTCTTGATCGGCCAAGTCCAGCATGTCTTCCAATACTCTGAAGAAATTGTTTCCCCCGTTTATCAAATCCATGTTGACGCAAACTGTGTTAGATTGCCGAACGATTTGATTGATTAGTGTGAAAAATGGAGGATTAGAGTGATGTATTTATAGAGTGATTCAACGAAGTAAAGAGAAAAAGTGAGAGAATTCTAGAGGATACAAAGAAAAGGAGCAGTGTTTGATCTGCTTCCTGTTCTGTCCAGATTGGCCAAGAATGTTCTACACAAGTATGATAAAAGGCCTTTCTGTTTTTTTTTTTTTTTAAAAAAAAATTAATGAAAATTACCTCAAAACTTTATATTTTAATAAAAAATTATCTAATAATTTTACTTAATTATAAGGACAAAAGGAAAAAAACATAACATATAAACATGTGCGCCCAGCGCATTAAGTTTCATAAACAGTGTAGTACCGTTAAATTTCATAAACAGTGTAGTACTGTTAAGTTTCATAAACAGTGTAGTAAGTTTTATAAACAGTATATACCATTAACTTTCCTAAATAGAGTAATATAGTACCGTGTGTCTATTTTTTTTAATATTAAAATTATGTATTTTTTTCATTAAAATTATTTTGTCCTTTTTTATAAAAATTTTAAGGGGTTTTTATTAAAATTTAAGTTTTTTTTATTAAATAAAGTTATAGCATAAGTTTTTGTTAAATAAATTTAGCCCAAACACTTTTCATGAAAGTCGATATTTCTTACATAAAGAAGCACTTTTTGCCGTGAGCGTTTTTATTAAATTTTACAAAATAATATAATAGCTCGTTTGGTGTTTAATTCAAATTCAGCTTTATAAACTAAATAATAGTTTGGGAAATTTTATTTGAACCCATCTTTCTACACCCAATTTAAATTTTAAATGTGAAGTGTCTTTTTTATCCTATTGCATAATTACCATAAAGTACAAGATAAATTAAAAATAAAACTAAAATGTATCAATAAACCCACTCCTAATAATCAAACCATTACTATCACGCAATCTTTATCTTGCGTTATATTCTTGCTAAAATCCTAAGATGCTCTCATAGAGAATAAGCTCTTTTTGACAAATGGATACTGATTTTGAAGTTTTTGATCCTCCAACTAAGGTATGAATTGATTCATGAGTTTCTATTTTATGAACTCAAAGAAAAAATTCGATGTGCCATCATTGGCGCATCTCAAGATATTATTTTTCTGCAGCTATGTAAGTCTTAAGCAGATGGACTCTCATTCCTCAAACAATTCTTTCAATCTGTTGACCCTAAAAACTACTAAGCCTACGTGGCGCGCAGGCCAAGTAACTAATGAGCTAACTACTTCCTTCGATTGATGCGGGCATGCCAACTCGTCAGCCGAGCTCGGTTGAGGAGTAAAATGTGTTGATATTGCGTTGAGCGCTACTGACTTCTTGATCTTGCAACTGCGGCAAAGGAAGGAACATGTCTTGGCCTTTGGGTTCTGGAGCCTAAAGATAAGGCTGCTAGTTCTGCGAAGTTCACAAATCGTCGACGCTGGGTTCGGTCACGGTATTATATTCGTAAAAGTATAAGCACGCTGAACCGGTACCAAGCTATATGAACATAAGTACTCAAAAGAGATGTATGTTTTGATAGTGAATGTGGTTCGGCTGTCAGAATGCCGAACTCTAAAACTTACTTGTGAGTATCCAATCATAAATTGGCGTTCAACGTGCCAAGCCCAGTAATATATAACACCTCACTTCGCCAAGAAGGCTAATGAGATGACCTCTGCCAATAAGGATTTGAAAACCCTTCTTGACCGAGACTTGGATAGGTAATCAGTCGGCCTTGACGCATTGCTGTTTATCTAAACTGAAGGTGCTCTACGATCGGCTGATTCTACGACAACAGTGTTGTTTATCCAAACTAAAGGTGTCATCGGTTGCCTTCACAATGCTGTTTATCTAAACTGAAGATGTGTTGGCGAAAAAGAAAATAAAAATCTCAAGGTGTTTGAGAGGTTTCGTGTGGAGCAAGGATTTGCGCATGGCAGTTTGTGTGTTAAATTGGAGGGGCTTAGAATGATGCACCCCCTTCTTATTTATAACAGCCAATCTCGTCATGGCCGAACCAGAACTATACTCGAATTAGGATTCTTTATCCTAATCTAACCAAGTCTCGGCCAATTCTTCCTCCATTAGGCCTTTGAACCAAATTCTTTATTCGGCCACATTCACTTCTCAAATCTCAGCATCCTCATCCCATTGAGACTCCATGTGATGCTAGGATTCGACTTTCCCATCAACCCGTCTCATACTAGGACTCGGCCGATCTTAAACAAGCGGCCCATAATAACTAGAATTCGCGATGATTCTAGAATCATACTGCCAGGCCAAGAACAACTCCTAACTCGGCCCACACCAATATTTTAGGCCCAAACACAATCCCTCAAATATGGTTTAGCTTACAAAGGGACTGAAGCATTACAAGATAGCTTATATTGTTTGTTGCAGAGAAAGTTTACCTGAACATTTTCCACACCCCTTTGACCTCACCTAGATTAGAAGTGCAGGCATGGAGGCTAATAAAAAAATGGTACGGCTTGCGTTGCTTCAGGGTTTCATCATTTCTTCCGACATTTTGAGGGCTTGCTCTGCCTTGTTACCATATGTTGACCAACTGCATTTTTCTACGTCTTGTGTTTCCATTTCCTCCAGGACTCTTTTTTCTCCTTCAAAATCATCCAAGGCCAAGTAGCTCAGCGTCCATATATTATAAGTAAACACGCTAAATATGAAAGAGAATGAGAGAACTTAAACTAATGAGTACACGCCCCTCCAAATGGTATTGC